ACCAAATCCTAAAATATTACTCTATCATCTCAGGAAAGGTGAAATTGTTGCTAAGATGGAAAAGGGCAAGAATGTCGAAGTGAAAACGACTGAAGAGAGTCTAAGGATGAAATTGCGTCGACTCAAACAAGAGATTCGAGAGATGGGAGAAAGAGGAATAGAAGTAGAATTAGCCACCGCAGCTGCGCAAGCCAAAAGTGCAGCACTGGACGCGGAGTTAGCGACTAAGATGGCAAGATATGTTGTCATGAATGAGGAGACGGTTGCTATGCGGAAGGGACATGATGCCTTCAACAATAATATAACCATGAGGCTCCAAAAACTACATGGAAAATACCCTTTCTTCAACCAAGAGGCCACTAACAGTGGTCCTAAAGGCACTGGACCTGAATTTGTTGAAGAGGACCTTGAGGAGGAAATTGTGTATAGACCTCCTTTCAAGGGACGGTGGAAAGAAGAGAATGAGGAAACCGCCCCCGAAGCATTTGAGTTTACCCCCCGTGGCTAATACGGCAGTCAGAGAAAAGAGCTTCGAGAAGGCACCATCTATCTTTTAGGAGCTTTATTATCTGTTTTTCACTTTCCTTGTAATCACCAGAAATGAACGAATGAAAATGAAAGTTTCCTTTGTATTCGAACTACGTAGGGCCTGAATTCTCCCTCGGAGATACTTAGGCAGTCTTTCAAGGCCCGGCCCCTATCTTTTTGAAATTTTCCTTCCCCCCTCTGTCATTCTACAAGGAAACACTGAGTTCAGATCAACAGATGCCAAAAGATGCAGCAAGAAAACCTTAGCTCAACGCAATTTAACCTTTCTGAGTCACTCGCCTCAAAATAAAACGAGCAAATTCCTGCTTGTTCAAAGTCAGTCCTCATTATTCGTATGTTTACATGTTCTCAGGCAAAACAACTTTTATGTGTTTATCTGTTTTCTATGTGATATCTTGCATTATTCATCCAAACCTAATACTGACGGATTTGCCTTTGAGTTATTTTCTCTACAGGTAGTTAGAACTGATCTGTGTTGACACACTGGCCGGTCATCCCTATTTTTACCAGATCAAAAGGGCCTATAGATTCCTTTCCCAGCCAAAGTTCCCAAAAAGGAAAAACAGCAATGGGTAATAACAACGAAGAAATCGACCTTACTGATGTCGTGGTAGCTTAGCCTGTCCTTGCCGATCAGAATGAACTGATCCTGCAGTTGATGCAACAAATTGCCGAGATGAGGGTCGAGATGCAGAGAAAACAAAATTTGCCTTCTCCGAATTTTGCTGTCAACGCTCAACCAGATGGAAG